CCCCAAAAACCCCAAAACCCCAAAACCCCAAAACCCCAAAACCCCAAAATGTCAAATCCTAATAGAAATTAAAATTATTCTTTGAGTAAAAAATCAGAGAAAATTAGACTCATGGTATATAATCACTGTTTGTTGCAGCTTTAACTTTCTGGGGGAATTAGAATTGGTGTACACCTTCTTATCAATTCTAGGGGATCGTTACACTCAGCTCTTAGTGGTCACTGAGAAAGTTACAGTTTAGGGGTAAATAAACTATGGCAGCTGTGCTATACGACTTGGAAAGATTCTTATCGCTGCTAGAATGTTGATTCGCCTATCTTTTATAATAACCTTTGGATTATAAGTTAGAGTCTGATGAGTATCCTTTTAGACTTTAAATTTACCTATTCTTACGTTCGAGCTAAATTTTATAACAGAATTATATTGGGTTTTGTTATTCTAGGCTATCACTGCTCTCTATCTGAGGTCTCTCAGAAATATTAGAATTTGAATATATCTTATGGATTATGAAGACTGGGTAAATTTGCCAACCCAGTTGGTTATTAAATATCCCTACTAGAACCTAAGTATTAATGGACTCCTTGCTTAGGCCAAAATAGATGGCATTTTAGTTAACTTTTTAATGTTTTGACAATTTATGGCAAATAAACACGACTTTAAGTGAAAATTACTAAGAGATCTGAGCTATGATGCCAAGAACCCTTTCTGCTTCTTTTTGATTTTTCCTTTCTAAGGGAGCAGAGAAATATTGAGGAAATATTTTTATCAACATTAAAAGTTAGAGCTAGTATTTGGTTCGCATTTGGTTGGTTGAAAACTTAGGCATTGCTACTGCATGACTTCCAAACATAGCTGCAGCTGATGATCTGAAATAACTGTTAAAGTCTCCTTGCCCTCTTCCTGTTGTGATTTGTTGGGAAGATCCCCTATTCAAGGGATAAGGCTTGTGAGGTTGGTTGAAATGATCACTCGTATAGTTCTTTTTCAGTACAGGAACTCCAAAGGAACCACTGTAAGCATTTGATGAAGTGTTACGGAAATTCCTCTCGTTGAAGTTCACACCAGAAGTACCCATTCCATCATATTTCTTATCCTTCGTAGCAGCACTAGACATCATTCCTGTGGTAGTCATCATGTTTGTTGGCTGATCTCTGCGGCTACTTTTCGGGTCATATTCTTGATACTTCAGGCCATTGATAGGATTTATGCCACTATATTTTGTGTTATTATACGAATTAGAAACTGCATTTAGCTTATTAAAGCTGTTGTAGGTATCCCTTCTAATAATCGGAGCATCTACAGAGTTCCCACGAGCCTTATTCATGATCGAATTATTCAGAGGTGGCTTCATATCCATAATTTGTGTTGGCTTTATCGGTTCTTCATCAGCCTTTATCTTAGGTGGGATTGGGACATTTATTTTGCTATTCTTTTTCACTATCCAGTCATAGTAATAATCATGTTCATAATTCATTCTCTCTGCTGTGTCTTGTAAGTATTTTCGGAGTAGGATGTAGTCTGGCTTTTCTTCAAATTTGAGATCTCTTCAATAATTCATAAATTTGCCAAACTCTTTTGGAAGACCCTTAACAAGTTCATCGATTGAGGTTGATATTTTATTTCTCCTTGATTCGATCATATTTGTTTTTCTTAGTTTTGGCTGCAATGCCTTGCCAAGGGAGTTTACCCTTGAGGAAGTAGATGAGAACAAATCCTACTGATTCGAGGTCATCCCTTCTTCCTTGCTCTATTCCGAGGTGAGTATTGGCACTGGCATATCGGGCAGTTCCTGTTAGACTTTTACCATCCCTGTAAGCAATATGTTCTCCTGATCTTGGATCTTTGTATCGCTTTGCTAAACCAAAATCTATCATGAAGACGATATGCTGTTGTTTTCCCAACCCCATGAGGAAGTTGTCTGGCTTAATATCCCTATGCAAGAATCATTTATTATGAAGACTCTCTAGTCTTTTGACCATATGGTCCCCAATCATGAGGACAGTTTTGAGAGAGAACTTTCTTTTACAGTAATCAAAAAGATCTTCAAGAGAAGGTCCCAGCATATCAATAACCAATCAATTGTAATCTCCCTCTGTGCCATAGTAATATACATTCGGGACCCCTTCAGTTCCTTTGAGGTATTTATATAGCTTCGCTTCATAATAGAGCTGTGGGTACTTTGTCTTCACTGGCTCCAACTTTATCGCCATATTATCGCCAGTCTTAATATTCGTACCCCTATAAATTTCTCCAAAAGCACCACTTCCTAACTTTTTGCCTAATTTGTATCGGCCTCCTACCTTCATTTTCTTTTATGAATTTATAATTTTTAATATTTTCATCTAATTACTTGTAGAAGGGGTTTTGGGGTTTTGGGGTTTTGGGGTTTTGGGG